CTTCAAAAGGGAAATTTTACTTGTAGGACGGGTACACTGGAGCGAATGGTTGGCGTGCGGAGCATGCTTTCATCGTTACCTGGTATCGGGTGAGTTATATTTGACCATATGAAATAAACAGATCAAAAAAACCACCTCACCTTTTCTGTGAGCTCTGCCTAATAAAATTGTGGATGAAGTGCTAACTTCGCCCAACGCCCATTCATTATGTGCTATGAGATAGGCTATTGTAACCAAAGCTAGGCACCAGGATCGAACATGCGTGGCGGAATCTACGAATAAAGCAACCGTATTTGGCCTGAATTCAGTGAAATGGGCATATCTGTCAGTTTGGATGAGTATGTCAGGGACTTTTTCGGAATTTCTAGACCTTCAGAAAATACCACGGTTTCACTTCCATGTACAGGATAGGAGGCAATAAAAAAGGTACTCTCCACATTTAAAACTGAATTAATTACACTTTGCTCAATTGAAACCGGATGATCTCTACTGAAAACCGAAGAGGACATTTCATCCTATCGAAAATTTTCGACAACTTTTGCAAGGACGACATCAGGAGAGTTTGGAGACGTGGTGCATGGTTCGTCTTCAGTGAGGTCCTCGACCAGCGCGGATCATTACGGAGTCCTCTGAAACGGTGGTCGGAATGGGTCTTACATATCCAGCATAGAGAAATTGTCCCTTGGAAGCTATCCAACAGTCAACCGATACAATAAAATAATGTAGAAGCATCGGCTGGAGCGATTACGGTACATCTCTTCGAGCTAGACTGCAATGGCAGATGACGTCATATTCTGAAGACGGTGAGGGCAGTGAAGGAGAGCCTGTTGCTGATTAGAATCAGAAAGTGCTACGGCCGGTGACACGGACAAAAACGGCATCCGAGCGAGCAGCAGTGTAGTAGGAAAAAGCACCGCGTCCTACTCGCACGGTACGGGAGTCAAATCCCGAACTAGATCTCACCCGTCCCGACCCAGCCTTATGATAATTCTTGGTGGCCATTGATATCAACTGATGTTCTTTGGAGAAATTTAAAACATTCAGATGGCTTACGGAGGAGCTCCTAGGGCGCTCGATGTGTCACAGTTTGAACATGTGAAAGACTGGCAAAATACCTTCCAGTTAGTCATAGCCACTGATGAAATAAGGTAACGACTAACCCATAACATTGAATAGTACCTGCTAGAACTCCAGTTTTATAGAACATTTGCCATCTTCAACTATGCTCGGCTCAATTGGACAACTAGTAATGAAGCTGGAGGTGAGATATCCTGATTCCAAAGTGATATGCTATCCGCTACATGTTAATTGAAGGTCTCAACGGATTCGGTGGTAAACAAGCCGCTGTCGCTGGATTCAACGGCGGAAACGGTACCGGCTGGTATCAACTACCGTACTCCGGACACGGTAAGAAAATGCTACTTCGGTCTAACTGTTCTTTCAAGTCTGGAGCTGCATGAAAAACGTTGCGGAGGGTTCGGATAGAACCAGGGCAGTTTGCCAAAGTAAAAGAGTCGAGCGAAATTGACAACACATTCTAATTCTACGTTGAGCGTCAGGTTTGTCTGTAAATGCACAGTAAACAACACTTTTCGCGCCACTTGTTTTTGTTATACTCCATAAATCGAAATCAGATTGGACGTGTTTATGGGTTTGACGTGGCGGGAGCCGCACTTGATGGAAGTTGTGCGGATAAACGGGTGTGCGCCATATGGCGCGATCCCATTGGCCGATGTCATAGCGAATCGAGCGATTCGTTAGCGAACCGCTCGATTTGCAAACTATGACATCGGCCATTGGCATTGGAGCGCGCAGGTCGCAATTACCACGTCCTGCTGTGGCCGTACAACTCGTCCGCGAAACACATTCTG